CCATTTCTAATCTAGCTCTCTGCTATGGCCTGGGAAAGCAGTGGAAAATTGCCCCAATCCTTGAGCACCTGCACACATATAGGATATCCAGAAGAAGCTCCTGGCTCCTGGATTCAGATCAGCACAACTCCAGCCATTGTTGCTGACTGGGGAGTGAACCTCTCTCTCTGCCTCTCCTTCTTTCTCTTTGTAACTCTAGCTTTCAAAAAGTGTGATGTTTCCCCAATTTTAATATGGTCTCTGCAAATTTTTAATATTTGTGGAGGAAATTTATTTTAAAGGTTTAGATGTTACGAAGAAGTGACCAAAGTTATCTTCTTCATATAAATATCTTCAAGTTGCATAATAGTTGTGGTTTTACCTTTGTGTCACTCTCCTCCCTCTAGGACACTGGTTACAGGATCCAGGGAGTTATGTAACATATCAATTTCCTTGAAAATGCTAGTTACTAAAATCTGTTTAGCTATGATGTAGAATTGACATTAGTCCAATGTTATCTTTGTTATGTAATTAATTGAATTACTGACTCTAGTAAAGGCAAAAGAAATTCTTCCATCTCTCTGACAGGAAATCATTTGTGGTGTCTGCATACCAGACATTAAGAACTTGAACATCACCCACCTGCAAGGCTGATCATCTGTCTAGGCAAGTGTCAGGTAAAGGTTGAAAATTTTCAGACAACTGGCTTTATTCTGCCAATCTGTTGAGGGGAATTGATCCATGTTTTTTAAGAGAACAAAGTTGTTGTCACTCAAAATATTTGGTGTGTAGATAATTTTGTTTGACTATAACCAGTCACATGTCTGAATTTTAAAAACATTAATCTAATAAGAATATATAATATACTAGTAGGAAAAAGCAAAATAATTGATTTTGTTACATTTTCAAACATGATTTGGAAGATGCATATATGTTCAATGAAGATATTGTAAAGTGTATCATGAGCAGATTTTCTAGTAAATAACCAGATTGAGGTACTTGAAAAACCCATTTTTCAAAACAATGATTTTCACTCTGCAATTAAACAAAACTGCTTGGTCTCACCTTTCTTAAGGAAAACAACCTGCTCAATGCTACAGACTTGAAGAATTACCTATCTCTCACTTTATAGCTTTCTTAAGCAAGTCTAATTCATTCAATCAAAGGTGAATATAAGTACAGAAACATATTTCCATTCACCTAATTCAATTATCTTTGTATTTGACGTATTTTTGTAATAATAATAATAATAAAATAAAAAATAATAAAATTCCTAACTTTAAACTTCCATATGTTTCTGAATTTCCATTAAAGATACATCTTGTGATCCAAAAGATATAACCAAAGTTTCCTTGGAATAACACAGGAAAGGAAAGATAATTGAAAGAAAAGCCAGTTCAATTTGCATTGCAAATATTTATTGCTAATACTAGGACCAGGCCATTGAGTGAATATAAAAGAGCATGGTAGATCATATACTGTCAGGGTTGAGGGATATGTTCCAGCTCAGATAATACCTTTCTGGAGACCAAAGATAAAATATGTTAAATGGGGTCAAAACTGTAAACAACATAATTTAATTTTTATTGTCTGTTGTTTGTCTTCAGTTGTCCACATATATGCAAATATTTCCTTCTCATTCTCTGAACACAGCCCTGTATTTTGACATGTCTTACTGTGATAGCCTAAAAGGAATCACTCATATGTCTTTGCAGAAATCAGAGACTTAGTTTTGATGCAAGGATCTTTCTATTTACTTTTATTATGGTTAAAGAAACAATGTGATATACCCAAAATAGAGAAGCTTTTGAGATAAAGCATGTGTGAGTGAAACCACAGAGAAATTATATCTTTCTAAACCTCAGTTTTTCATGTTAAAATAAGGACAATATTAGTAAAGTCTCTAGAATTATGGAGTAAGTTACATGTAATGAAGCATGTAAAATGCATGACACATATGGCTATTTAATTTACAACAATTTGCTATGGTTTGTAATAAAACAACAAAAATAATGAGTGATTGGAAATATTAAATATTTGTAACAGTATTTTTGTATTAAATGGGACACCATTTGCATTGTCTCATTGACAATGATTTTTAAGTACCAAATATGTAAACAAATAAATTTGAATGTTCAGTTTCAGGTCTTGTGCCACTTTTTTTTAAAGATTTATTTATTTATTTATTTATTTGAAAGTCAGAGTTACACAGAGGGAAGGAGAGGCAGAGAGAGGGGGAGAGAGAGAGGTCTTCCATCCACTGGTTCACTCCTCAATTGGCCACAATGGCCAGAGCTGCGTCAATCCGAAGCTAGGAGCCAGGAGCTTCTTCCAGGTCTCCCATATGGGTGCAGGGGCCCAAGGACTTGGGCCATTCTCTACTGCTTTCCCAGGCCATAGCAGAGAGCTGGGTCAGAAGTGGAACAGCTGGGACCTGAACCGGCACCCATATGGGATGCTGGCACTGCCGGCAGCAGCTTTACCCGTTAGGTTACAGCACCAGCCCCTTGTGCCACTTTTTAATAGTTATGTGTTTTCTTGCTGTCCCTTATACATTTTGGTCTTAGCCTTTTTTATTTTATTTTTAAAGCATTTATTTATTTATTTGAAAAGCAGAGTTACAGAGAGGGAGAGACAGAGAGGGCAATCCATTCACTGGTGCAATCCTCAAGTGACTTCAACAGCCTCAGCAAGGACCAGGCTGAGGAAGGAGCCAGGAGCTTCTTCTGGTTTCCCAATGTGGGTGGCAGGGACCAGGCATTTAAGCCATCTTCCCCTGCTTTCCCAGGAACATTAGCAGAGAGCTGGATCAGTAGTGAAACAGCAGAGACTCAATTGGTACCCAATTAAACAACAGCATCACAGGCTGTTGTTTAATCTGCTAAGCCACAATACCAGCCCTCCCCCTTTCAGATAGATAGATAGATAATAGACAGATCAATGATTGAAAATATTTTCTCCTATTCTTCAGATTTCTTTTCCATTTTGTTGATTACTTATTTTCCTGTGCAAATCATTTGAAGTTTGATAGAATCCCATTTATATTGTTATTTATTTACTTACTTGTAATTTTTTAAAATTTATACAAAATGAGCACTCACATTTCAAGCATTTCCCATCTATCTATTTTTGCTTTTCTTGCCTGTGCTTTTAATGGTATATACAAAAAATACATTGTCAAAGAATTTTTCTGTCTTATTTATTCTTAGAACTTAGATCTTAAATTTAGTTTTGAACTCATTTTAACTTTCATTTTGTATATAATACAAATAAAAACCACTATATTACCTTGAATTTCTAGTTTTTCATTAAATATGACCAGGCATTTTTAATCTTAAATTTTTTTAATTGGCTTTAAAACATGTTGATCTAAATAATCTAGCATTTTTTAGAACAACCATAATTTTTTATTTTTAAGGAGTTACTAAAATTGGGAAAGATGTAAAAATGGTTAGATTTTAAAAGGTTCCATCACCATAAGTAAGCAGAGCACAGAGTAAAATGGCTGTTCCAGTCATTGAGTGTAGTAGTTGAATTTACTGTGGACTGTGTATTATGCTAGATATTTCCCCAAATTTATCTCTGAACACAGAAAATCTTTTTGGTTCAAGGATTAAAGATGGGGATTTTTAAATCTGTCAACCAAGGCTCAGAAAGTTTAAGTAATTTATGAATTCTAATGCAGTTGCTAATTGGAAATCGGGTCCATAATTATTATTCACTGTTATTTTGGCAGTGATACACATCACTATTGCATATCATTAATGATGGATAAACTCCCTGCTAGGTAAGCAGGACAAGGAGGTCTTTCCTCACCATCTGGAGATGAGTCTAAGAGGACCTGAGAAAAGCCAAGTAGTTGGCTTCTGTGAAGGAATTATGTGATTGAAGACTGACTTAACTCAGCTTCCTGCTGGCGCAGGCCTGAGAGGCAACAGTGATGCTCAAGTTACGGGATTCCTGAAGTTCATATGGAAGACCCAGATTGAGTTCTCAATTTCTGGCTTCAACCACAGCAGAGGGCACTTGTGGGCATTTGAGAAATAAACCAGCAGATGGAACCAATCAAAGCTGTCTCAACTCAATGCCTCACCTAATCATCAGAACTTTTACTTCTTTTTTTTTTAACTTTTATTTAATGAATATAAATTTCCAAAGTACGATTTATGGATTACAATGGCTTCCCCCACATACCGTCCCTCCCACCCACTACCCTCCCCTTTCCCACTCCCTCTCCCCTTCCATTCACATCAAGATTCATTTTCAATTATCTTAATATACAGAACTTTTACTTCTAAAGCCTGGACAATCAGCCCTCAATACTTAACTCCCTCATAGACTCTTCCTGGTCACTGGAAGCTTTCTGTGCTTCTTTCAATCAACTTCTGCTTTAAATTCCTTCTGCTTGGCACTCTTCCTTGTCCGTACTTCTAATCCTTCATGTTCATGAGACACAAACCAAAGGATGTAACTGCAGACTCCTGCAACATTACTCATCAAATGATATTAAGACAAATGCACCAGTGCAATTCTAATAGTGTTTTGAAACCCAGGAATCAATATGTCCAACACCCTGTTTGGAAAAACACAAGCATCTCTTCATTGATCGCCACTTAACTATTAAAAATATTATATACATCTGATCTGTTCATTGGTTAAAAGGGAGAGAATGATCCTGCGGGGGAAGCAGGACACACAGCAGACTCACAGAATGGCAAATGCCCAAAACAGCACTCCTGCCTCAGAATCAACCCTTGGGACATTCGGATCTGGCTAAAAGGTCCATGAGAGTCTCACAGGCATGGGAAGCCATGACACGGTGGCAAAAAAAGATCTAAATGAAAGACCCTGGTGAACAAGACCTCAGCAGAGGAACAGGCCATCAAGGAGGGAGGCACCTTTCTTGGAAGGGAGGAAGGAACCTCCACTGTGATATGGCCTTGACTAAACAAATTCAGAGTTGGTGAACTCAAGGGGCTTCCATAGCCTTGACAGCTCATAGCAAGAGTCTCGGGTGATTGCTGATGTCATAAATAAGAGTGCCAATTGTTAAATCAACAATGGGAGTCACTGAGTACAGGCTCCCCATGTAGGATCTCTGTCCTTAATGTGTTTTACTATGAAACTTAAAAACAACACTACTAGTCAAACAATACCCTATACCTTCTGCGGTTGTGTGAGTGCAGCCTGTTGAAATCCTTGCTTAGTGTATACTAAGTTGATCTTCTGTATATGAAGGTAATTGAAAATGATACTCGATGAAGGGCGGGATGGGAGAGAGAGTGAGAGAGGGGAGGGCCGCAGGAGGGAGGGAGTTTAGGGGGGAGACACAACAATACAAAAGTTGCACTTTGTAAATTCACATTTATTAAATAAAAAAAATAATAAAAAAGAACTAAAAATATTATATACATCTGATCTGTTCATTGGTTCTATTTGATACTCAGTTTTGGGCAGTAACTGAGATATTGCTTCCCTTTGCTTATATGCCAGCATATTTGGAGATAGTGTACATTGAGGTGACTTTTTAAAGCCTTTTTTTTTGTTTATTCATTAAAAAGAGTTACAGAGAGAGGGAGAATCAGAGAGAGAAAGAGAGAGAGGGATCTTCCATCTGCTGGTTCACTCCCCAGATGCTGCAATGGACAAGGCTGATCCAGGCTGAAGTTCAGAGCCAGGAGCTTCTTCCAGGTCTCTAACATGGGTGGCAGGGTCTCAGACATGTAGACCATCTTCCATTGCTTTCCTCAGGCCATTAGCAGGGCGGTAGCTGGATGGGAAGTAGAACAGCTGGGAAACAGAACAAAGCCCATGACAGCCCAACACTAGCCCTGAAATCAATTTAATGAGAGAGATTTTAAGGTTGTAAGACAAGTAGAGTTTGATTTGTTTTATTTTGAGGCAAAAAAATCTTGTATGCTCATTATTAAACCTTTTATTTATTTATTTATTAGGTATTTGAGCAGCCATTACCTGCTGCCTTCCTGGGAGAGCACTGGCAGGAATCTGTAACCTGGGGTGGAGCTGACATTCAAATCTAGGTATTCCAAGACAGGACACAGGATTCCTAATCCTTGATTTATCTGGTAATCCAAATGCATGTGTCTAGATATAAGAGTTGTTTTAAACTGCTCTATGCTGATCTGAAAAAGGCAAGGATCTCCTAGAACTCATCAAGAGAAGATATTCTCTATTTTCATTGCTTATGGACTTTGTATTTTTTTTATTGGAGAGTATATATGGTTAGTCAAATAATATTTAAGATAATTTGTCAAATTTAGGCCCAAAGTGCAAGCGTCAAGATGTAAAGGAAGCCAATCTATTTTCTCTCAAACTCCTTTACTTGAACTCATAATTTAATCATTTGTCTATCTCATGAAATGTTTGTTACATTTCTTTTAACATGAACAAAAGACAGTAGAGAAATGCTCTCAGAAAAATATGAACAACATTGACTCTATAAACTAAAAATGATAACTTTTCAGAATTCTTTTACTGAAATTTGTAGAATTTGTCTTGTAATAAGATGTTTAAGATAAATAATAAGGATGCACTAAAGTCATTTTAAAGAGAAATATATATTAAATTATTTAATTATGATAGAGGAGCATGTTTCTAACCTGAATTAAATAAGCATTAGCAATAAACAATGTTTACACTTGTGTTCTCACAATATGGAATCATTTTGATTCAGAAAGTATTTCTGAGGATATACTTAATGTGTTCCCAATATTTTAGCAGTAATAATAATTTGAAAAATCGGATCTATTCCTTTAGAAATCTCTCCTATGCAGAGTGCGGACTTAAAAGTGCCCAAGACGTCTGGGACATCTTGCTGAAGAAATCATTTTAGCTTTTTTGGTCAGTGATAAAGTTGACATGAGAGAGGAATTTCTCTGAAGATAAAACTGAAAGCTAAAGGCTTACTTCTATTCAGTATTCACTTTAGAAACTTAGGAAAAAGAGCATCATGTGCTTGAAGAAAATAATTGGCCTAAGAAACCTTTAGAGGCCACAGAGTCTGTAGACTTAGTGCTAATTTCTACCCGACCTTCCAGGGATATTTTCTGACAAAAACTACTTGATGTCACTTTTCATTCTTTTGTCTTAAGATTTATTTTATTTATTTGAAAGACAGAGTTACAGAGAGAGGTAGAGACAGAGAGAGAGGTCTTCCATTTACTGGTTCACTCCCCAGATGGCCACAATGGCCGGAGCTGCACCGATCCGAAGCCAGGAACCAGGAGTTCCTTCATGTCTCCCACACGGGTGCAGGGGCCCAAGGACTTGGGCCATCTTCTACTGCTTTCTCAGGCCATAGCAGAGAGCTGGATTGGAAGAGGAGCAGCCAGGACTAGAAAGAGCACCAGTATGGGATGCCGGCGCTGCAGCTAATTGCTTTACCCACTGCACCATGGCACTGGCCCCTACTTTTCATTCTTATATTAGCATATTTAATACTCATCTATAAAATGACAATTTTTTTTAACACAGAGAACCAATTGAAAATAAATAAAACCTTGTCTCTAACCTCAAGAAAGGTTCACAGTCAAGAGGGCAAAATAGATATATAATACCAAAAACCTGTAGTGCTGTATTATGAGATCGTGTGCAAAGGATAAAGTCTGGCACAGATAATGAGAGTGATTAGTCTCCTGACAGTAGAGAAAAAAAAAAATTGGAGGAGAAGATTTGGCACACAAGAATGAAAGAAGCCAATTGGAACTGGTACAAAGTGCAAATTTGAATTAGTCAAAATATAATAATAATGGGTAATAATATCAGTAAGTTACTTGGGTTGTAGCATGGATTTAAGTATTTTAAATTCACTAGTTACCTTACTTGCTTCTCACAAAAATCATTAAAGAAGACATTGTTAATATTACCTCCATTTTTCTGATGGGGAACTGAAGGGCATAATTTAAAAAGATTGCTTCAAATGATATATGTAGGAAGCAAAACGAAAAACTTCAAACACAAGAATCCAAGCACCAAAACCCTTGCTCCAACAGCCACATGATAGGGCTGCTTTCATAGAAGGAAACATTTGGAAGAAGTCACATGTTCATAAGCTGGCATGTGAAACACTTTGTATCTTCAGAAAATGATGCTTTTCATCATGACTACAGCAAAGCTCTTAGGGAAGTATTAGATTGTAAGTTTTAAAGAATTAATAGTGGTTAGATAAAAAATAAGCATATATGCAGAAAATATGGCAAATTTTATAGAGAAATATAATAACCAAAGCAAGGGTGGGTGAGTATCACATTACTCAATATGAGAAAATATGGCAGTCTGTGATAAAATGATTACTGAGCACACATAGGCAGGGTATGATTATTAAAATGTGCGGGAGGAAGGGTATAGAAAAGATTTTGAGGTTGATATGCACATGGTAGGTGAAGTAGAATAAAACATCTTCTAACCTAATCACCTGGCAAACAAGGCAGATGGTAATGCCACAGAACAGTTTATTCTGATGAGAGGTGCTTTCCCAAGGGTCAGAGTCCTAGTCTTCTTCCTTTGAGACCTCATTTTCATCTTTAGTATTGCGTTAGGTTGTCCTGTGCTAGGATGGCATCACTTAGGTATCAGAGATTTTTCTGAGTCAGGCCACCTTTAACATTCAAAACATCACTGGACTCCTTTTTGTGGGCGAGGCAAGGGCGAGGTTTGTTACCAGGAACTCATTAAAGCTACAGGAATAACGAAATTTTGTGAACTTTTTTCTTCAGACAGAAAAGTCCTGTGGGTTCCTTTAAAATCACTTGACAACCACTTTTATGAGACAATCAAATTATTTTCCAGAAAGTGTCTCATCAACAATCATATATCCTAGGGATGGTGTTGGATGCAGCAGATAAAGCTGCTACTTGATACTCCCACATTCTGTATTGGAATGCTAATTTGATTCCCTATATTCAGTTTCCAATCAAGCTTCCTGCTGATTTGAATTTAGTGATAGAGATGTAGGGTGACTTACTGATAGCATGTAGGTTAAGATTCTTTGCAGCATACACAGGTTACATAATTTAGTTCGACAATTTCACAGACGGTTTACAATGACTTGAAAGTTTGTTTCAAGATATCTAATTTATTTATATTCCTTTACACCTTCCTCTCTCCTATTGAGGTTCAAGAAACAAACAAAAAGATCAATAGTCAATATCAATGAAATAACATAGCATATGACCAGAAAGTTTCATGGTGAAATATGATTATTATTTTTTAAATTTTATTGTATGTACTACTGAAATACAATGATTATACTGTGTAAAGATATCTGCTCTGTAATGTTTACTACAATGCTATTCACAATAGGCAAGATGTGAAATTGACCCAAGCATACATCAGTGGATGGAGACATAGATGAAGAAAATCTGGTAAATACAGAAATTGATGTATTATTCAACAATAAATAAGAATTAAACCCTGTCATCTGTTGCAACATGGATAAAACTGGAGCATGTGAAGCAAAATAAGTAAAGCTTAGGAAAACAAATACTCCATGCTCTTGCTTATATGTGGAAACTGAAACATAATTTTCTAGAAGTAGTGAATAAAATACTGGTTTCTAAAGGTTAGAAATGCTAGGAGGGGATGAAGGAAAGAGGAAGATGGAAAATGGGTATCCAAATACTGTTTCATAGAAGGAACAAGCTCTAATTTCTACAGCAAATAGGATGACTGTAGTTCACATAAATTTATTACGTATGTTATGAACAACTAAAACTCTAAAAATGTTTAAGGGTGTTGCAGTGCTAATTACCATGACTTGATAGTATACATTGTGTGTGTGTGTGTGTATATATATATATATATATATATATATATCAGCTTTTTTCACTCTATACCCATAAATATTTGCCACAGTTATATATCTATAAAATTTTTAAAAGATATTTCAGCAGGTGATGGTGGTGTTTGGTAGGGGCCCAGCTCTTCTAGAAAAGTTACCCAATGAGCACAAGGTGAGGGGGTGAGGGTGATCAAGAGATTGCTCATGTTTGCCTACCGAGTGCAACAGCCACAGCAACTGCAATTCTTTTAGCTTGGTATTACCAGACATTGTCAAAACTGTTGATGGAAACTGGGCCAAGAGACAATGCTGGAAACATCACTTTTCAGTCAAATGAGCTGTATCAACAAGAACTGAGCTTTAGTTCCCATTGAGTTCTTAAAAGAACTAAATTATTATGTTTCTGAAAGTTTTGTGGGAGAGAGTCCAGGAAGTTTCCCACCATCATCTTCAGTTTCTATATAGGATTACCACTGTAATTGCAATCTGACTCCCCAAAGAACATTACTGTGTTTAGTTGATGTCCTGTGGGATTCTAAAATCCTTTTTCTAATCTTCAGGACATATGAGCTAGCTGGCTCTAGGAAGATCATTCTAAAAGAACATCCAGTAATAGAATTTCACCCAGGTAATGCATTAGAAGATCTATTACTAGATAAACCTATGCCTGGGCTGAGCGAATATTTTGGTCCTAAAGCTTAGGAATATGGGGTGAGGAAATAATACCAGAGCCACATTTCAATGATTATAATAACAGTTGAATATTTAGTTCAATAGAATAGTTGAATGATTGGATAAATATTTAAGATATAAATTGGACTTCAGGGATTTATTAGACAAAAGATTCTAAATAATTAAAATAAGACTACCAAAGACACATATAATTCTGAAGCAATAACAAAAATATGAAGACAAAAATAAAAAACACTCATATGCCAAACAATATTGAAATTATATTTAATTATGATTGCTGAACAAATATCATAAAGCAAATTTCATTCTTTAAAGTTCTAGATCATGCCTCAAAGAGTCTTTTTTAACCAAGGAATGTTAAGGAAATTGAGTTTTGAAGGAACAATTCCCAACTCAATTGTAGCTTTGAATGCACATATAAAATTGAAAAAACAATGTAACTGTGTAAACCAAAGAATAATGTTTGTGCTGGGAGTAATCGTCTTGCCAAATGCCACAGTCCATAGGTCAGGAAACTGGTGTCATTTTAAGGAAAGGATTAAAAATTCCCTGCAGCAGTTCTTCATTTCTTGGCTTAGTATGAATTGACTATTAGCCGAATAACACAATTTAGGCACAACTAACAGGGATGCAATATTTTCCAGGATGGGCATTGCAGATAATAAGAGTATTAGAGTTACAAGTTATTGATAGATTCCATAAATAATATGATAAAGAATATCTAACCATAGAGAAGAATTAGACATCTGGGAATATAACAATAGTTGAAGAAAATATATAAAACTCAAAAGTCTTATTTCACTGGCTTTGAGAAATGCAATTATCTGTGTTTACGAAAGATGACTATATTCACATATTTTGACAATACAGAACTACCGAGTCAGCATAATTGCTTCTTAGAAGCAGCTGTGGCTTGAGAGGTTATTGAAATTATCACTAAACAATTTTTAATTTTTAGTAACACATTTGTAGTGACAAGTCACACAGTCACAAATTCCAGGAAGTTTCCAGTTGTAAAATAAATCCCCAAGAAAGTATAATCATTATTATGACTGCATAAGCAGATTGGATAGAAACCTGAATCTCACATTCTTAACAAGGGAATCCAAAATAAAAACAAGGAAAAGGGAAAAATAAATAATTATTTTATTATAATTATTTGATTTATATTATATATTATATTATTGTAATTATATTACATATGATTTGATTTAACTCTGGATCCCATCTTCATTAGATTTTTGTCTTTCTCCTTAATTAGTCCCTAATCACATCCTCAACAACTAAAATTAGAGCAGCTCAGGTTTAATACTTCTCTCCCTTGAAAGTACATATATATTTAGTGACATAATCCAGCTGTTTTGCATACCATCTCAAAAAAAAACCCATATAGCCGGCGCCACGGCTCACTAAGCTAATCATCCTCCTTGCGGTGCCGGCACACCGGGTTCTAGTCCTGGTCGGGGCACCGGATTTTGTCCCGGTTGTCCCTCTTCCAGGCCAGCTCTCTGCTGTGGCCAGGGAGTGCAGTGGAGGATGGCCCAAGTACTTAGGTCCTGCACCCCATGGGAGACCAGGATAAGCATCTGGCTCCTGCCATCGGATCAGCGCAGTGTGCCGGCCGCAGCGCGCTGGCCACGGTGGCCATTGGAGGGTGAACCAACGGCAAAGGAAGACCTTTCTCTCTGTCTCTCTCTCTCTCACTGTCCACTCTGCCTGTCAAAAAAAAAAAATATATATATATATATATATATAAGTGCTATAAGCTTATTTCTCCTCCCTGGATTCTATGCACACTACATAGGTACCTACTTATATTGGTTTGTACTATGTCTACTTGGCTAAACTGAGATAACATTTCCCACAATTCATTTCCTGTGTATTTCCAAGTTAAGGTTGACCACAGGAAAAAAAATTGAGATTTTGATGCAAAGTAGGGTATATTAAGCCCTGAAAGTTAATCCAGGTGCTTGCTACTGCTGCAGCTTTCACACAATATCATTGTTAATTAGGAAGATTATGGTACCCAATCCTCTCTGGCTGGCATAGCATTTTGAATTCCAGTTTCTCTGGTATGGTGTCAAGCACATTGTTCATTGGTGACAAAGTCATCTGACATTTTCACAGGGCAATCCTCAGCACTGTGGTTATAAAGAATGTGTGAGATCGATGCACGCTCCAGTTCTCAAAGTTTCCATTTTGTGACTATAGATTCTTCTGTACTCTGTGTGGGTTCATTTCATAATACTACCTTTGTTTTTACTTTCTGCTTCTATCCCAACTTCCAGCCCTTTTTGTTGAATAATGATTTTAAAAATCACCACCAGATGCAAAGGTAACAACCTTCCTAAGGATTCAGCATCAATGCCAACAATTCTGAAAAGTCTAATATTGTAAATAAACTTTGTATACCATACCATTCTTGGATATTCTTCTTCCTTGATTGAGTACTAATTGATGTGCTGCTTGACATAAAGGATACTTGATATGCTACTGGATATCAAATATAGCATATCCACAAAAGAATTCATGATATTATTTCTACCACAAACTTGCATTTCTCACAATTTCCAGCCCATTATCCTTAACTTTTCCCTTTCTCTTATCCAAGCCAAATACCTTGAATTCATTCCTGATGAAATCTTTTTCACCCGTACTAATTTATATATTTTAGGAAATGCTCTTAGCTATGCCTTTAAAATATATCCTTTCATCCTCTTCCTGTTACTCTTCTCTGCTATATAAAATCTGTCTTAGAAACAACTACATGTGAAGACCTCTTAAGATGTCTTCTGGCTTCTATTGTCCCTCTTAAATCCGCTGCAATCCACATGACAGAGTGAGTCTGTTAGAAATCAATCAGGTGATGTTACTCTTTGGTTCAGTGCTCCTGTCGGCTTCCTGTCTCACTTGGAATGAAAGCTAATGACCTTACACAGATTCAAACAGCTTTTATGTCATTGCTTCTCCTACTCTCCTGCTAGATCAACTGTTCTGTCTCTATTGACCATCTTTTCACACTAGGAATTCTCCTGACTCTGGTTATCCAGGCTTGCCTTCAGTCTGCCAGATGTATTTCTGCAGACAATCATGTGACCTGTTCTTCCCTTCCTTCCACATTTCATTTTTGGAAACCTCCCAGAATACCTGCTTTAAAATCATATTCCATATTCCCTTAGAAAATATCTTCCTTTCCTGGAATACATTTTTTCCTGAGTACCCTAGAATAATTTATATTTAACTTATTTTTCTTACACATATTTATTACTTTTTATATTTGATGAGAATGATGATGTTTCACTCTTCTATAAAATTGTCTAGTTCTTCCCCACAGTAGAATTTTGCAAATAGTAAGGCCTTAATAAAAGCATATTGGATAAATGACTAATATGAGAATTAATGCAGTGGCTTCATTCCTGAAAGAGTGACAGCTATCATGGCATAGCTCTGTGTCAAGGCTTATGCCATTTCATCTGACGCATTGAACCAAGAAAAATTTATCAGATTTGATTCTTTTGATTTATGTAGCTAGAATCTCATTTGGTGTGATCTTTAGGCAAACTAAAATTCTTATAAGTGCATAGCTAGTACTCAAACAGTATTTTTCATTTTATGTTTCTGTGTGGGAGCAAACTGCTGAAATCTTTACTTAATGTATGCCAAACTGATCTTCTGTATATAAAGACAATCGAAAATGAATCTTGATGTGAATGGAAGGGGAGAGGGAGCGGGAGAGGGGAGGGTTGCGGGTGGGAGGGACATTATGGGGGGGGCATTGTAATCCATAAGCTGTACTTTGGAAATTTATATTCATTAAATAAGTTTTAAAAAAAGAAAAAAAAGGGCATAGCAATGTGGGTAAATCATTCTCCTATGAATAATATTGGTCATGTGTTTTCTCAATGTTGATTGTTTTCCCTTTTAACAGTTCAAAAATATAGGTCCTGAGTTCTGAAAGCTACATACTAAGTGAATAAGCAATAACATTTGTGATAACTAGATTGCCAATGACTTGGAGCCAAACCACTTGTGATTTTGTGCTCCTACAATTATGTGCAGCTTAGATGTAAGTATTGATATGTTAATGAGGCAAAGCTTACCTCTGGAAGGAAACTATATTCTGGCATCATGAAAAGTAATCATTAAATGCCTACAATTTTTTGGTGTAGAATTGTATAAAGGAAAAATCAGTGCCAACTGCTGAAGATTTTGAATTATCAAGTCCAGTTCTCATTTTTTTCTTTTGTAATTTACTGTTAAGAAATTATCTGTTGAACAGGTCGGACTCTTTAGTATCAGACAAAATTCTACAGCTTTTCTTTTTCCTATGAAAAATAAAACAATATGTTATCTCCTTTGCCCTTCAGTGGACAGTAATTACTAGGGAATTCGACATCCAATTAAAATATTGTAAGAATTCTAGCTTGATAGCCACTCCACATATTCTCTATTATTTATTTTCAACCTTCATTAACAATAAAATATGTCCATTATACCCAGTCTATTTCAATCAGGGGAAGAAAACAACAACAAAACATTTGAATAAGTTAAAAATAAGAAAACATGGAATGTTTTCAACTGATATGTTTATGAAGTATGAAACAAGTGGAAAAGTGTCATTGAGATTTAGCAGGGTGGGAATAGTCCTTAATTGGATGCTGAATTGATAATGGAAAAGAAATGCTGAATGACTAAGCAGCTTAAAAAAAGAGAGCAGAAACATGATCTTCTCTGATAAGGTCAGTCCAGTATTAGCTCTTTTTTCCCTTAGCAAATGTGAACTATGATTTTTCCATTCCCATTATTGACTTGAACAAGTTAGAAGTAATAAGCTGACCTATAATGATATGCTTAAACTTTTATTTATTCCTTGTTACAAAAATGATTTAAGAACATGTTATGATTTTACAACTAATGAGAAATAAAGGTGAATTT